CATATCCTTCTAAAGGGTGCACTAGCCTCAATCCAATACACCTAGTGTGATTTTAGTCTGCTCTGTCTTCCCTCTGCTTTCTGCATGAGCTGCTTCTGAGTATTATGCTGGCGCCACAGCATTCCCCGCTCCAGCACAAGATGGTGAATGACAGCATAAGCTGTGCATGTTTCTCTGTGATACTGTGTAGAGGGGGGGTGTCCTTTGCCTCCACTTAGGTCTCAGATTACACTTAGCTCACTGTTCTGTGCTGTGCAGTGTGTGACATCAGATCCCTACCCCCTGCCTGCAGGAGCTCAGAAATGCTGTACTGGTGTGCTTTAGAAGGCTGTAGAGAAGAGAGGGCTGCAGATAAACAAGTACAATTCATATAGGGGATTTATTTAATTCCTGTGTATCACTTGAGGATAATCACTTCAGTGGGTATATGTAGGGGGTTACAACCACTTTAATATCCAAATAATGCATGCTGTTGTAAAGCACAGTGAAAACCAAACAGTGGCCTTACAAAGCAGCCTAGACCAACTCATCAAGTTGATTAAGTTAAAGCGGAGTTCCAACCAAAAGGGGAAGCTCCACTTTAAGTCTTTGTCCCCCGCTCCCCATTAAGGATTGGCACCTTTGGGGAGCGGGTACCTGAATTTGACAGGTACCCGCTCCCACTTCTACTGCAATCGCCTGAGGCAATCGGAAGCGGAAGTTGTCCTCCCCCCTTCCCTCCTCGTAGTCTTCTGGGACACATGACAGGTGAAACCAGCCATGGAGAGGACATCGCTGGACTGAGAGACAGGTAAGTGTCTGTATTTTAAAAGTCAGTAGCTAGTTTTTGTAGCTGCTAACTTTTTTTTTCAGCTGGAACTCCGCTTTAAATGCAATAGGGTTGATTTGCTAAAACTGGAGAGTGCAAAATTTGGTGCAGCTGTGCATAGAGACCAATCAGCTTCCAGGTTTTTTGCCAAAGTTTAATTGAACAAGCTGCAGTTAGAAGCTCATTGACTACCATGCACAGCTGCACCAGAGTTTGCACCCACCAGTTTTAGTAAATCAATGCCAATGTTTCTGCATGCGGCAAAACAGAGAATTAAAAGTAAATACTCTTTAAGAGTGCAGACCATTTTATATTTCATTAGGCAGTCTGCATTTGTGCATCTGGATATGTACAGTATGCACTTTGAAGGAAAATTCCCGTTAATTTGATCTAGTAATTACAGCAGTCCAAGCATCACCATACACAGCCTTTTTGAATAAAGAAAACACAATTTATTTCAAGCACCATTGAATGCAGAGAGCCAAGCACTAAATTACTATATGATGGGAATGTGTCTTTTAAGTCCACTGTATGCGCGTGGCAGCACAATGCACTTGATGTCCTTTGAATCATGGCTACCTGAACACCATTGGGACTAATCTGGTTTCAATTTATTTCCAAGAAATGATTCTTTCCACTTTTAAATGATGTTGTTATAACTCCATGTACAAAGAAAGGTGTGCAGACAATCTGAAAACATAATTAACTTGTAATGATATCGTATGCTATCTCGGTGAAGAGGACGATTGTAAATTCTAAGCAGGATTGCTGCAAAGGGGAGCTGAAATGAAGGCGGTAAAATTATTTTTTTATATATATTTATAATCTGATATCTGTATGTATAGATGCTACTGGCTGCTAATTCTTTAGAGACCCTATAAAACCCTTATGTTTGTGCTTGTAGCGTCACAGTTTTGCTCCACATGTATGTAGGAAAGTCTCAACTCAATTCTGTAGGGAAGGATCTGGGAACACGAGATACATGAATTGATGACCTTGAACACAGGTAAGATCTGGGTTTTTTTTTGTAGATTTAAAGGATCAGTTCACCTTTTGGGCAAAAATAATAAATGCACATTTTTGCAGGTAAAAAAAATGTGCATTTATTATTTTGTCCAAAGGAGCCTGGAAAGCATTGAACCAGCGATCAGTAGATCATTGATGCCATACAGGGCTCCTGCAGACCTGTCAGAATATCTGCTTGCCGTATGGGATGTACATTCATGCAGATATACTGGAAGCGTCAATGAACTACCGCAGCACTCCACAGCGCCATGGTAGTTCATTGAAAACTACAAGCCCACAGCTGCTAAAGCTGCTGGGACTTGTAGGCACTCATTCACAGAACTCTGTGAATGAGCAACGCGGCCATACGGTTGCAGTTATGGGAACATGCATAGTTGCCAACAGTTCCGAAATGCCGGGACGCTCACAGAATTTGGACATCTGTCACAGAGAGTTCTTGTCCTGGGCAGTGTCCTAAAAATTTCGATTTGTCACGGACAGTCAGCTCTGTCCTGTCACATTGATGTGGCTATGTGCTCCTGGCGATGCTGTACACCGATATCCTGTCCAGTGTCCGATCACATCCCCCTCAGCCCTGCAATCCACCTGCCCTCCCCGTGGCTGGGACTGCCAATCAAAGATGACAGGGAATCGTGTGATGCCTGCTGATGCCCGCCTCTCATTCCTGATTGGTCGGCACTGTGAGGGGACGAGGCCAGCTGAGGGGTGACCACATTTAGCCTCTATGGTTGTAGGGTGCATGTGTGAGGCAGAGAGGAAGCTTCGGCAGGGCGGACTCTGACACATGTTTGTTGGGGACCCAGCAGAGTTGACTCAGGAGGCCTGCAAACAGGAGGACACAACAGAAAGAGAGGACACAGATTGACCGGAAGAGAATTGGAGGATAGAGATGGTGCAGCGCCAACGTTACAGCGGAAGAGCCTACCATCAAGGACTCATAGGTAAGTTGCTGACTTTTTTGGGAGTGGCTGTTAGGGTTATGGCTTGAGATACAAGCAATTTTTTTTTTGGGGGGGGGGAAGGTGAGGGTTGTCTCATTTAGCTGTGATAGAGGAGTGAATCTGTTTTTTTGGGGGGTAATGGTTCCCGTCCCACCCAAAAAAGAACACAAGAGACTCACTCCTCCATCACAGCCAAACAAGACAACCCTCACCCGCTTCTCCCCCTCCCCCCCCCGAAAAACTGGCTCCCCTCAGGTCATGATTACTCCCCCCCCAAAAAAAACATCAAAAAGCAGACTCACTCTCAAAGCCAAATGAGGCAAGCCCCCCCAAACAAAAAGAACAGTCTCTTACCCCCTCCTGTACTACACCTACAGTCTCTAACCAACTCCTGTGCTACACCCGCAGTCTGAGACCAACTCCTGTACTACGCCCACAGTCTCTGACTCTCTCAAGTACTACACTTGCAGTCTCTGACCTCTCCTGTACTATGCCCGCAGTCTCCGACCAACTCCTGTACTACGCCCACAGTCTCTGACCCTCTCCTGTACTACGCCCGCAGACTCTGACCAACTCCTGTACTACACCCGCAGTTTTTCTGACTCTCTCCTGTACTATGCCCGCAGTCTCTGACTCTCTCCTGTACTACTGCAGTCTCTGACCCTCTCCTGTGCTACTCCTGCAATCTCTGACCCTCCCTTGTACTACCCCTGTAGTCTCACCCTCTCCTGTACTACGCCTGCAGTCTGACTCTCTCCTGAACAATGCCTGCAGTCTCTGACCAACTCCTGTACTACACCTGCAGTCCCAGACCATAGTCCTGTACTAACTGCAGTAACCTTTAGAAACCAATCAGTGAGCAGTAATGATGTGCTGTAACCTCTAGCAACAAATCAGTGAGTGAGAACCAGTTCTTTATGTGTACATTAAGTTTTATTAGATAAGTCTTTGATTGTGTTTATTTCTTTTTTTAGGATGTTCTGGTGGAGAGCAAAATTGCATGGGGGGAGCCCAAGAGTATCTCAAACTCTGTTTAACCACACCTCCTTTAAGCCGCACCCAATAGTTAGTGTAATTTAAACCACATGCACCCTCTGCTTTGTGTTAGGCCACACCCATTAATGAATGCCCCACCCTTAATTAACATAATGCTCTGTCTACACTGTCTTTCTGGACAAACAGGAAAAAAAAGTGTCCCTGAAATTTTTTTTTAAATGTTGGCAACTATGGAACATGTTACGCCCTAAAAACAGGTGGAACATGTAACATGTTCCAAAGGTGAATTTATCCTTTAAATGACTATAACTACCTGTAGCTTAAAGGCAGAGAAAGTAGAGTACCAATGAGAGACTTACAACCAGGGCCAACTTAAAGCAGAACTTTACCCATAACAACTTGAAAAAACGAATGTTCTTTAGCAAGGAACATACATTCCACATTAATAATTATGCTACCATAACTAGTGTGTGCTGTAAATTGCCTCCAGCATTGCTCCTCTTTCTTCTTGCTGGAGGCTGCCATTTTGCTGCAGCCCAGAGCCCCCAGAGCAGCAGTAAATCTTTAGGCTGTCAGCAAATCTTTCTCCACATTTTTGGCACCATGCTGAAAAATACATAGTAACTGAGCTTTTGCAGAGCATTGTGAGACAGTGTATTACTGGATTTCAAATAGTATAGGCACTTAAATTCCACTTTAACAAAACATATTGCTAAGGGGACCATGGAATATAGGACCTACTGGTGACAAATATGAGACATTGCAGTCAGGGTTGCTGTTAAAAATCACGGGGCCCCATACAGCCTATCTGACAAGACTCCCCAGAATATATCAAAACAGTATTTTTGCCACAAATACACTAAAATCATTATTAGGGGACACAAACACAACATAAATTACAAAATACCTGTTACTTTTTTTCATAAATCACTGTCTGGTGGTATAAAACTGGGACTGTTATAGCAAGTTGGAACTGCCTTTATGTACGTTTGCTAGGTAAATGCAGGTCAGTTCTGTTAAATACTGTTAGTCAGAATTCTACAGGTGTTTAACAATATCTTTCAGACTAATGCTGTGGTCTTATCGAAGGTTTGTATAGGTACACTTGCCAATCCACTCTTCTTTTGGACTATTCTTGACCTAATAAATTCTTTGAAATTTGTCAAACCTTACTGGCAAGCTGGCCATACCTTAATCCATCAGCTTTTTCATGCCTGGAACCCATTTACAATCAAAACATGCCTTTTAGGTATACCTCCTACCAGGGGCGGACTGACAACTCATGGGGTCACCGGGCAATAGGGGATCATGGGGCCCCTGTGTCCTTGCCCAAACACAAAAAAGTCTATGAAAAAGGTACCAGGGGCATCTCATAGGGCCCCCTACTGACCCCGGGCCCTCGGGCAGTGCCGAGTTTCCAAATGGTCAGTCCACCCCTGCCTCCTACTGATTTCTCTAAAACATCTAAAAAATTGTTGGCTCATATCCTGGAGTACCCACCCGAATGTCCTTACCACCCTGTCCTGATACTCACTTGAAATTGCAAGCAGATAGAGTCAGAGTCCAGGTTGGCAACCAAGGACATCAACTTTCTACCTCCCCCCTCCCTCCCTACCAGGGGCGGACTGACCATTTGGAAACTCGGGCACTGCCTGAGGGCCCGGGATCAGTAGGGGGCCCCATGAGATGCCCCTGGTACCTTTTTCATAGGCTTTTTTGAGTTTGGGCAAGGACACAGGGGCCCCATGATCCCCTATTGCCCGGGGGCCCCATGAGTTGTCAGTCCACCCCTGCTCCCTACTACTCCTCTTTGCTCACAAAAGAAAATTATCTGCTCCTCTGGGGGTAGCACTGCAATAGTCAAAACTTTTTATATCTGAGTGGCAAACACAGTACGAAGTAGTTGTCTAGTGCACCTTTTTTTCATGTCTTTTTAAATTGATGAGGTTGTTGTGGGGCAGTGTGTCACAGAATTTCAATAATGTTTTGGAGCTGTTAAGATAGCTATAACGACTTGAAATAGTTCCTGATTCAGGCAAGACTGGTTAGCTAGTCCCTGAATATTACAAATAATGTTGTAGCATTTATATGGGGTCACGTTTATTTTATGTATTTTAGTATAATTTATTTACAGCTATTGGAAACTGACCAGTGATACTTGAGGCTTTAGGCCTTATTTACACTTGTGCATTGTTGTAACACTCATAATAATTCATTCTGAATGACACTCCAATAGGCAGAGCTCCTCCCTCCAACTCCTTTCATCCAAACAGAGCATATTTGTTGAATTTACTCTACAAAATCATAAAAACAAACACTGGGGCTTATTTTCAACATATTAAGCATTAAACATTAAAAATATGGCGAATTCCATTAAAAATGTGTCTCTTTAATGTATATGGATGTCCTTTTTTACCCACCACTGTGCCAATGCCCCCACAATGAATTGAACATGCAGATTACTGGACTCCAAGACCGCATATATGAATAAAAGGGCAAAGATTGCTTGACAATGATTGATCTAACCAATTAGATCCTTCCCATTTAACATATCCTCCTGAGGTTACCCTCCTATGGTTGCAGACATCCTCCTTGTGAAAAATGGCCTTAACCTCCCAGCAGTCAGCTTCACTGTATATCTGCAAAGGAAAACAAGAACTTCACTGCTCACTCAACCGTGCCACACAATACTGGATGGCTTAACCATATTGTTTGCTCGTATCACAAATCACCTAAAAGTGCAACTTCATATTCAACTTTCCTGTGCTAGTCATATATTGGTCTTTGTGGCTGCCATTTTTTTGCTTTAAAAGTGTTACACCACTCTACAATTTAAAACCATACATCACTTTAAAATAGACCTGTGTTCTTCGGATAAATTGTGTGAAACTTTTAAGAGTTTCCTGAAGCTCCGGGCAGTCTTGGCTACTTCTGTGCTTATTTCACCAATGCTACTTACATCTAACAAAGTTAGCATTTAGTACTTCCTATTTTATTTAGTATTTCATCAGTTTGGCACATATCTATTAGTGAAGCTATGCATGATGGCCTCTATCAAGGTTTTCACTAGTATGTGCTAGATTTCTGCTAATTGTGTTTTGTGATCTTAATATGCAATGTGGGCACACTCAGCTTGCAATGATAACAAGCACCCAAGTGCTACAAATCCTCCTGCTACAACCTTTAAAATACAGAGGAATGGGTAAAAAGAGAGAAAAAAAAGAGTCAATATCACTCTCATCATGCCTCTAGGCTAGATGCCATCCATCTACCTACTTTGACAGAAGTCATTCCCCATGGGGCCTAATACAGGGGTTGAGCTAGAAGCCCTATTAGTATGCCAGCCAGCACCATCCTTTTCATCATGAAATTAGCAAATGTATTGGGGAAGAATCAGTAGGGCATTTGCAACACATTTCTAATGTTGTGGATTTAGTTAGAAGGCTTGCACGAAATTCATAAAACTCATACAATTCTTAAAACCCATGCAACATTTGCATTATTAGTTCCAAGCATGCAACAAATTCAAGTAGTTTGTTTTGGTGACACTTTTAGAGTATGTTGCTATAGCGATAACAAATTCCTAAAGAAATACCTCCATATTGTTGATTTAGGAAAATGGAAGTCAATAGGAGTAGGTTAAGCGGAGTTCCACCCAAAAGGGGAAGTTCTGCTTTAAAGACTGGTCCCCCGCTCCCCACTGGCACCTTTGGAGAGCGGGAACTCAAAATTGACAGGTACTCACCCCCATTTCCGCTGTGATTGCCCAGGCAATCTGAAGCGGAAGTTTTCCTCCACCCCTCCCTCCCCATAGTCTTCTGGAACACATGACAGGTCCCAGAAGATTACGGGACCATTCCAAAAGCGCAGCGTTACTCGTGCATGTATAGTAGGCACCTGGCTGTGAAGCCGCAAGCTGTCACAACCGGGTGCCCATACTGAAGATACCGACACGGCAACACCAGATGGATGGTGAAATGGGCTGCGAGGAGGACACCATGGGATCCAGGGACAGATGAGTAGCTGTTTTTAAAAGTCAGCAGCTACAGTGTTTGTAGCTGTTGACCTTTATTTTTATGACTGGAACCCACTTTAGCTGTTTTGCATAATTATTAATTGTTCTGCAGTTTTGAAATTTATGGGTATATGTGACTTCATTAAAGTCCCGCTTTAAAAAACTGCAAGTAGGCAGACTCTTTATTTCAGAAGAGATATTCAATGTCTCTTCTGCAATACAAAAACCTACTTGCAGTCCAATTTGGAAAGTACACTGAGCTGCGCACGCGCAGCTCAGTTTACATTCTGATATTGTGCCTGTGTGCTGGGATGACTCCAACGTATACGCAAAGGTGATGGGATCTTGTGACAGCCAATGAAGGTGGCCTGAGCCCAGTACTCTGATGAAGCCAAGTAGAAGATGCCGCCAATGGCAAGGGACGTTGGACTGTTGAAGGCTGGGTAAGCGTTGCGGAGTGTAGCTCCACTTTAGGTGCGGCAGAAAATGGTCTAGTTATCAACGAGTTGTAGAAAATCATCCCCAAGAAAATTTGAAAAGGAAAGTTCTATTTGTCTTATTACATCTCAAACTGCTAAGGTAACTTCAAACTTCCTTAAAGCCTAGTACACATGAATGGAAAGTACAAACGTACTGAAAGACTACTCTCTGTTCAACAGAAGCTGGTCTAATGGTCCTGCTGGAAAAAACCTGCATTCAATCCGTGCTTGCAGCAATGTGAGAGACATGTGCACGCCAGAAATTCTTGTTTCGTTTTGTTTTGGATGCTTTCATTGATTGAAGAATTTAGTTTTGTCATATTTGTCATATACCAGCCAGCCACCCCACCAGGGACCGCTCTCCCAGCACCCTGCTTTCCGGCACGCTATTCCCTCTGGCGATGCCCCGGCGACTAGTGGCCCACCACGACCCTTGAAGCCGCGGTCTCTCCTACCGGCCGCAACAGATCACGGTTGAGCACAAACCACGCAGGGCCGACGATCGCTACCGCAACGCCCCGCTCGACCCTGACGACGATCCTTCAACACCTCCTGACGCTGCGCCCTTCAACACCTTCAGCGCCTCACGACGCCGAGCCCGCAGCACCCGACGCCTGGCCTCAACAACCCCAGTCACAGAGCCGCCAGCATCACCAGTCGCCGTGCCTACCAACACCCCCAGCCATCGCGCCCTACGACCCCTCTACTAGCCGAACCACCGTACCCACTGAAGACATGCCACAGCACCCACGGTCGCCAGCTTACTGCACCCACAGACTGCTGCCAACCAGCTTTCGCCCTCCACCCTCACTCTACCCCTACAGAAGGACTCAAATGACTCTCCCAAGGTAATGCAGATTCCACCCAAACCACCATGCTCTGACCAGTATCCCTTCACCTCCCCTGACCCAACCGTCACTCCACCCACCCCAACATGCCTCCTGCACTCCTCCTCCTCGTTTTCCTCTCCACCATCCCAAAAATCACCTCCCTCTACCCGCCCTACCCCCCCCCCAAAACAGCTCTACATTGCCCCTTCACTTCTCCCCTCTCCCCACTACGGCACTCACCACCTCCTCCTGCTACTCCACTCCCCCCCCCGTCGACCCACGTGCCACCACTATCAGACCCACACGCTCCTGCACTTCCCATCCCCATGCCACCTTCCTCACCCTTCTCCTTCTCCTATCCACTGGGGACATCTCCCCGAACCCTGGCCCCACGCCACCTCACCCCTCCTCTAGGGACCCCCCTGCTCCCGCCAGCTGCCGTAACCCCCCCCTCAACCTCATACCTGTGCCCCTTCTCCCCGCATCCATCCCCCCTCTCTCGGTTGCACTCCTGAACGCCCGCTCGGTCTGCAACAAACTTACTGCCATCCATGACCTCTTTATCTCCCACTCCCTTAACCTCCTAGCCATCACCGAAACCTGGGTACAGGCCACTGACTCCACCTCCCCTGCGGCACTCTCCTATGGAGGTCTCGTCTGGTCCCATTCACCAAGACTGAGCGGTCACAAAGGTGGTGGGGTCGGCCTGCTCCTATCACTGCTGAGCACCTTCCAGGTCCTCCCTAACCCTCCCTCCCTAACCTTCTCCTCCTTCGAGGCTCACTGTATCCGGCACTTCACCCCCACCCCCCTAAGGATTGCAGTGATCTACAGGCCTCCCGGATCCATACCCCGCTTCCTGGACGACTTCGCCGCCTGGCTTCCCTTCTTCCTCTCCTCTGAGCTACCAACCATCATCCTCGGGGACTTCAATATCCCCATCAATGACAACAGCCCGGCTACTTCCCAACTCCTCCACCTAACCTCCTCCTTCGCGCTCACACAGCACACTCAATCCTCCACCCACATCATTGGGAACACCCTGGACCTCGTCTTCTCCCACCTCTGTACCCTCAACCAGTTCTCTAACACCCCCTTCCCTCTCTCCGACCACCACC